TAATAATAATGATAATAATAATAATAATAATAATAATAATAATAAATAATTCATGAAAACGAAGTAAAATGTAAATGACAAAATAAATTTAAACACAAAAAAGGCTAATCTTGCTTAATGCGAAAACAAAGAAAAACAAACTTATTTTTTACTTATTACACAAAATAGTAGTTAATAATTATTCACTATAGCAATTAATATTGCGATAACTATAATTATATTCAAGCATTTTTAATGTTCCAAAATGTTCCAAAGTAAACAATAAGCTAATGAGATTGAATTTTTTAATAATAATAAATTTATTCATTTTAGTTTGATGCAATTTTTCCATTCATGTCTGTCCTACAGTTTATATTTTATATGGGTTGGCTGAAAGTAGCGGAGGCGATTCTGAATCCATTCGGAGAGGATGACGATGACTTTGAGTGCAATTTTCTACTCGACAAAAACTTGGCTGTTTGTTTCAGTTTTCTTCAAATCTCTATTTAATCCGTTTCAGAAGTGTTTTTGCATCTTACTAATTTTACTTTTGTTTTTCAAGCTTACTTTCTAAAAAATTATCAAGCACTGTGATATGAATCATCGAGCATTATTATAAAGTTACAAATGCAAAACACTTTAATCCGCATTTTCACGAATGTTCAGTCAGATTCTTAAAGTAATCTACTTGAATCTTATTTTAATAAACTTAGCTTATTTTCAGAGTTAGCCATTTAAAAAATCTAAAATACTTGATGATAAAAGTAAATTACTCGAATGCTAATCTTATAATTCCTAAATATTTTCAAGCTCTAAACTTGTAGAAGTTGGCGTGGGACATGATCATCTTCAGGTAGGTTTAACTATTGTTGATCAAGGCTATAATCAACCACCAATTATCAAAAAAGATCCATTTTGGGAAGTACCTGTTGAACCACTTTACACTGAGCAGTCTATGGTGCTAGAGCGACAAATGAGTGGTATTACAGGTTCGATCGCCCACGTGAAGTTAGTTCATTTAAGCTTCGAACTTCGTTTTTAAATCACTCAAAGTCTTTTAATTAATCAAAGAGTAATCAGTTATCTTCAAGGTTACTTTCGTTTTTGAATGCCTAGAATAAATTTTTAATTTCTTTGTTGATATTTCTTTAAAAATTACATGCACTTATTTATAAGAGTCTCAAAATCTGAATTACTTTTTGTAAAACCAATCATTAATGTTCCATTTTTTTAATAAATTTACAAACTCAGATCATAAAATATTTTGCACTGATATCAAGGCTGTTTAAGGCACAAAACTTTTTAAACTTATGTAGCTTCAAGAATTTTTAAGATTTAAATTTATGTAAGGTAGCATTTCGAAGCTACAAATTGAAATCTATTAGTTTTTACTACCTTTTTACAGTTCAGTTGCAGAATCTCTTTCTAGGATACCAGATACAAGAACTGTACAAATGATGCCCTTAACTCAAGATATGAATGCACCTTGGAATCCATTTGATTATATTCTCAAAACAAACAGGTTTATTTATTAACATGATTTTTTGATGTTTATTTTGCTCGAGTTTTTTTAAATAAAGTAAGCTAATTTGCATAAATGAATATGAGATAGCTTACTCGTTTTGCTGATCAAAATTTAGATCAAGAAGTGAATCTGATGGTGCACATTGGAAGAAAATGACAAGAAATAATCAAAGTGATATAGATCTGAAGGTGCTAAGTAAAAATAACCAGTGGAAACGAAGATTAAGTTTAGGTTTAATGATCTTTTATACTTTTTTCTAATTTATTCAAATTTGTTTTTAAAAAGTATTTCAAGACTACTCTTTTAGATGAACTGCATACGTTATTTATTGAATTTTGTCATGATTGCATATATCAATATATCATACTTATCACTGATTTATCGACTGATATATGTTTATTTAGGTGATCACAGTCATTCTTCAGCTCGATTTTATTTCACAGAAAGAATTCCAAGTGATCACAACAATATCGCTATGGAAGCTTCTTCCCATACTTTGGAAGATGTTACAGAAGAAAACGAAGATTCCATACATTCACGAATAATTTTGCCACAGTCAGATTATGCAACAACATCGTATCCTTTGTCACCGTTGACAGTAAAGGACACAGTCTCGAGATTAACCAAGCAAGAAGAAAAAGAAATAAGCCTTGTAGCCCCAGGTGATATAAATTATGTTGCCTTTGACCAGAATCTTAATTTAGAACAGTAACTAAAAAGTATCTATCATTTATTTATCAATAAAGTTTACTTTCAAATAAAGAAGTAAAAATTTTGGATAGTCACTGAATAATAGTATAATGAGAGTTTAAAAACCAGCATAATAAGTTAGGTAATAAAAAATTATACGCATTACTTGAATTATTAAACAATTGCCAGCATATTCAGAAGTAAAAAGTTTATCGTAATGTTTAGGGCACTGAATAGAAGATTAAAAATGCGACTAATTAATATACAGTAATTCTGTTTTACAGTAAACTTATTTGAATTATTGTTAAATTTTGCATAGATCATTTATGTTTACTTTTACTTTCAGGAACAAATTCATCGTAATTCTAAGATAAATTCAATCTAAGGAATTATTAAAATAAGTTATTGCATGATACCAAAGAATCGTGAATTATCAATTCAGAAGATAATTTGTAGGGACGACTTCACGAAATTTTGTGATTAATAAAGTTGAAGACAATGAATCAGCAGTTACAAAAGTTGAAACCAAAAAGAAAGATAAGAAGGCTCATGAAGAATCAATTTGGAGAAAGATATCTGGAAAGCTTCATAGAATCAATCCTGAAAACTGATGACAAATTTTATCAAATATCGTAGCAATACTGAATATTTTAGAAATTGGTCTAAATTCAATATCAAAATATTTTCATCTCTATTTGTTATCTGTTTCTTCTTGAAATTCTTCAAGTATTTTAAGTTTAATTTTATTCCAATATTGGCTTTAATTCTAGTAAATTACATTTTAAGCAGTTGTGAAGTTATGAAGTAATTGAGTATAAAAATATTAATACAAATGGTTATAATTATTTGTAAAGTATAATTTAATAATTAATTCGATAATTGTAAGGTATAATCTGATGTTTATACCACTACAGTATTAAGATTCTTCATGTAAAAATTTTTTTGTTGAATTTGCATTCAGTCCACTTATTGGGGACGTAATTTGTAATTTATTATGATGACAGAATCCGTTGTTTCCGTTTATTTCTATACTGAAATGTTATTTAGTTGATATTTTAAAGACCACAAGTCTTTGAGATGGAATTAACATTTAATTTAATTGTTAACTGCAACAAATTTATTTAAATGATTTCTACTTTCAGTATTTATGCTGTGGAATTCAATAAACAAACTGAATTCTTTTTCCCTTTATTACTGTTAACACGTATTACTTTATTACTGTTAACACGTATTAATAATGATTAGTGCTTGAAACATATTTTTTATCATGAAAAATTCAAGATTTTGGTTCTTAAAAACTGTGGTTTTTTAATATTTACAGAAATATCTTTGCAAGACGATAAATTTCTGCTTGAAAATGTAGTGATGTGAAGTTTTGGCTTTGTAATTTAATATTTTGTGCTAAAAATGCAACATATCAATTTTCTGATATACTTCACGAAATTATTTTGTGATTATTTGCATTCACACAAATAGCATATTTTAAGTCAGAGCATAATTTGGTTGTCAAAGAAAGTTAAGCAAGTTTGAGAGCATTGTAAAAATCTTTAAATTTTTCAATAAAATGATTGCAGTTTGCACAAGAATAAATAGGTTTTAATTTTTTCACAATATCTCTCAGCAAAATATTGGAGAATTTCATCTTTATCAGTTAGTTTTTACTGATTTTGCTTTGATAAAATTATTGCGATTCTTATCAGACAAAGATAATAAAAGTTATTTCGATCTCTTCAAACAACTGCTCTCATTCTAATCATTTGATAATGATAATATAGCACAAATTAAACATTGCTAAAGATTTAAATTGCTTCATAACCAAACCTTTAATATGACGTCTGAAAAATACTTTGAAAAATACTTCTATAAATTATAACTTAAAAAAATTTGATTTTCCCTCTAGGATTTCCCTTTTGCTCTTTTTTTTGACGTACTGGAAATTCAAGATTGGATTAGTTAGCAAAAAATATCTTTTCAATTAAAATAATGTAATACGTGTGATATTACTAAAAGCAAATTATAATTTGGATAATATCTAAATTATTCAAAAAGATAATAATTATTATAGCAATTAATTTCTGTAATTAATTACAGATTTACGTAGATAAATGTGCATAAATACATTTCAGGATCGAGTTATCAAACCTCACTGCAAGCAAAAAATTGTGGCATAATTAAAAATTCATAATTATTTCATATTGCTCGCTCATTTTAGAATTAGTTATTGAAGTACTGAAGGAGAAGAAGCAAAAAATTGCCCTCGAAATAATCGCAAACAACTATTTTGACTGAAAATAGCACAATCTCTTCTTTAAAATTAGTCAAGATAACGATTATTCTAGTTACTACTACTTTTTATCACTTTCAGTGCAATCATTTAGAGTAGAGTAGAAAACTCGTTTTTGATTTTATCAATGCAATATTATCGAAAAATGATTTGAAAATTCATTTCTTGTTTTAATTTCAATTTCAATTTGGACTTTGATGGATTAAGATTTTACTTTTATTACTTTCAAATTTCAGTAAATAAATAATACAGTTTCATACAAAAGCATTATCGATTTTAAACTTCAACCTTGCGCTCTGTAATTAATTACAGATTTCGATAGATAAATATGCATAAATAAATTTTAGTTCTTCTTTTTGTTTAAAATTTGTAATCAATTAATTATTACCTGAAAAACTATTTTATAAACAACTTTTTTATACTAAATTATTCTTAAAGAATAAAAAATATACAAATTTCATATTATCTATTTTTTAGAACAAAAAGTAAGACTAACAAAGCTCTGTGAAACAAACTGAATATTCTAATCATTTAAAATTAGCATCTTTCGCTCTAATACCCTTTTACACTCTTCTCAAAAATAACTATGAATGAAGCACTCATTCTACAAGCTAAACTTCAAAAATTGAAGGTGTGTGAGCTGGGATTTATCAGTTGCATATTGAACCTCCCACGTAATACCAGGTCCATTATTAGTTGGACGTTTTGTTTTTTATTTCGTTGCAGTCATTTTCATTGCAAGGTTTCAATTGGGAATGTACTACTTGTGTGTAATCAGAATTTCTAAGTAAGCAGTTTTTATGAAAGTTCTGGTCTTCTATTTTATCAGGCAGAGATGTCAGAAACGTATGCAATGCAATCTATGAGACAAATACGCCGACTTTCGTTTGTCTTAATTTACAGCTGCGAAATTGTGTTTTATTTAAAATCCATCTGCTTAGTTAGTGCTTTTTAGAAGAGAATTAGTATTTGCAACCATTAAAAATTGCTCAAATATTTTTAATTTGCTACTGCTAACTCATAAATTTGCACTTTGTGTATTACTTTTCAGTTTGTTCTGTCATTTTACACTCCGCCCAAATTTTTTGTGTATAAGTTAAATCAATAAGGCAAGTATATCATTTTCAATTGATATTACAATTGTATTAGCATTCTTCTGTAGTCTGTAAACTGTACGTCACTCTGTTTGATATCAAAAAGCAAATAGTCTTTTGTTGTAATCTTTTTGAAAATAAAATCTGAGAGTTTGTAGATTTGTGAAGTGATTTTCCGCATACTGCTTTCTTTAGGCTCAAAACTGTAAGTATTCTCTAATCACTTAGTAATTCTCGACATTACCATAGTTTTTAGTGCATTAAGATTCAAATTATTTTAATTTACTCACTTTAATCAGTCACGTTTATAGCTCTCAACCAAAATTCAGCGAGAATTGATCTGGTTTCGCTCATTATTCGGATTAGTATTGTGATAATAGTTCTATTAGCTCCAGTTGAATTTATTATACTCAATACTTATCGATTTTTCCGTGCATCACATATTAAATATATTCTTCGTTGAATTTTGCTGCAGTCATTTTATTCTTGCATTTTTCAGGCTTGACTGTTAGTAAGCAGTGAGCACAGTCATTTATTTAAGGATTACAAGGCATATTCATCTTCAGTACATTATATTTGTCTTTATCAGATAACAAAAATATATAGATCTTACTCGCGCTGTCCTAGATCTGACTATCTCTTGAAAAGTATGGAACAGTTCTAAATTCATATATAGTTTATGTCTGATCTAATATTTATGCGATAGAACATCACTGATACTGATTCGAAATGGCTCGTGCTCCTGTAAGATTAAATGTTTACGATATGGTAGGTTTTTTATTTTGAGGATTATTTGCCGTCTGTCTTTACACTCAATTTTTTGATAGTGTTTTATATTACAAAATAATGCTATAAATTCATCTATATTCTTTACTTTTCAAGTTTTAAAAACAGTTTGTTAGCTGAAATGACTCAGTAAGTGTACAAATGTGGTTGTAATGATGCAAAAATGATGATTGTATTGAAATAGATCTCTAATTGCTAATGGAGAACTTTTTTCAGTACTGGTTAAATGACTATGCATCAACTCTGGGATTTGGAGTATATCATACAGGCATTGAGGTGTATGATATTGGTAAGATTCATTCAAGTTTTGTAACATTTTTTTGCAGTAATAGCACACTGTCTTCCGCAAAAAAGTTTGAGTTTAATTTGTAAAAAGTTGTTTGTTCAGTCTAAGTTTTACTAATATTCAAATGTGTGTAAATATCATAAATTTGGGAACCAAACAAATTTTTTGCAGAATATGGTTACGGTGGACATCCTTTTGCATTTTCTGGGATTTTTGAAAATTCCCCGAGAGATGCTGAAGAGTTAGGAGAAAATTTTAAATTTAAGTATGTTATAATTTTTTTCTAGCATTTCAATTTAAGCTATTTTTAAGCTCTTTTATGTACATTTTATTCTATCACAAATTGTTTTGTATGATATTAGTATTCCAGAGAAAGCATACTAATTGGTGAGACCGATTTCACAGAAACTGATGTAAAGCACTTAATACAGATGATGGGAAATGAATATAGAGGCGATAAATATCATCTGATTTCCAAAAATTGCAATCATTTTACATCAGTACTTGCAAAGGTAGATATTTTTAATATTTTCTTTTTAAATGGAAATTTTTTCTTTGGTACATATTTTTTCTAAAGCGAAATAAAGATTCAAGTAAAATTGTAAACAAAAAGTTGGTCTCTATTTTTAATCTGCTGAGAGGTATGTTTAAATAATACACTAATATCTTTGTTCTCTACGCATTTATTAGAGGCCGCCACAACACTAAGGCAGTAAGTCATAAATTGATGAATATTGTAAAAGAGTATTACTGGTCAGATAATTATAGGAGTAAGAAAAAAGTTTATAAAACGACTAAGCTATTTTTAGATTTTTAAATTCCCTGTGTTTTATAAATCGACGAAGTTTTTATTTGATTTAATTTCTTTTCTAGTATCTAGTTTATTTCAAATGAGGTAATGTAGTGTATTATTGAATTGACTGTGTTTTATATGTTGCAGTTTTACATTCAAAACTATCACAATGGTATGTTTAGACTTTGACTGGTAAGGAGATACCATCTTGGGTTAATCGACTTGCCGCATTATCTAGCTCAATACCATTTCTGGAGCGTTTTTTACCACAAGAATGGTTGACACCAATGGCGTTGCAACAGAGTTTAGAGGAAAGGCGCAGAAGTGGAGATTATACTTCCGCATGTATAGAGCGTGATCAGGAAGACTCTCAACAGTCAAGTACTCGCTCTAGTGAAAGACGTGCTAGCTTACCGATTAGTGGTAGTATTGGTAAGATTTAGCTTATTCCTTGCATATGTCTCTTTCAAAATTTTTTTATCGTTCATTAAAGGATAATTTAAAAAACAAACTAATTAGAAGAGCTTTGTGAATTTTACTGATGAATTACACAAACTAGTTTCATCAAAATATAGTTTTGTGTATCTAATTCATCTAGTCATTAATATAATTTTCAACTTTATATTTTTTTATTTATGAAAAAGTAAAAAAAAAACACTAAACACTTGCTTATTAATTGAAATTGTATAGAAGATTTTTAAAGATTTATACAATTCGCTGATGTTTTTTTATTTAAGCTTTATCTTCGAACGTAGTTCAAGCACTGAGCAGACTTTATTACGTGGTATGTAATTCCTTTTATTATATTTTCTACAGTTTTTATATTAATCTATTAATATTGCAGATGCAAAACTATCTAATGGCTTAACGGCAACTTGTTTGTCTGCAGCAAATGTTTTTCCTGCTTCTGCAGCAACAACGCGTTCAATGAGTCCAGTGCCACAATTATCGAAAATTTGGAACTCAATAAAAAGTTTCACTACTGATAGCACTCAGACAGGTTCAGAATTTTCTTCTTCGTCTTCCAATCCTCGTACTTCTGATCAAAACGAAAAATGATTGCATTCTCTTTACTGAAACGAAAATTTTCAAATTGTATTTGTAGGTCCCGCAGTTAGGTACATTTAATTTTAGTGATTTGGTTTCCTATAGATTTTCTTTTCGAAGTTTATTATGCCGTTTTTCGTGAAATACTATTCCTCACATTTGAATTTTGTAAGATGGTTTTAAGTTTCGTTTGTATTTCTCGCTAAAATGTGCTTCATTTTTGAAATGCCTTTTATGGCTTCCATTTATAACCCAATACTATTCCATATTATGAAAAAGGTGCTTTACTTTTTCTGATTCTTTAAACAGTCAAATGTTTATGAATGTTTGCTTCAGTTCTTCTTGTGTTTTTTCTTAATCATGTGCAGTGCCTACCGATTTTTTGCCTATGCAATTGTTTCCAAATAATTTTCTTGACAACACATCATATTGTTTTATCAGGAGATTAGTGTACATGTGTGAAGAAATTCTTGATTCGTAGATGTTACACTTATAATAGCAGTGTTTGGAAATATTTACTTCCGAGAAACGGAAGGTTGTACATAGCACCAGTACATTGTGTCTTTGTCATTTCACTGCGATCTCATTGAGTTACCTCATACAGCTTTGAAATTGCATATTTTGAGATAGGCAGTTAGAATAGACTTTTGTAATATCCACTTTAGTGGTGAAATGACTTCATTTTTTATTCAATCTTTTTTCTCGTTCTCCAAAACATTTGTGCTCTGAATAAGAGCATAAAAGATAGCAGCAACCATTGTAATGAAACATATATTGAAAAGGTCTTCAAGTTGTGCTTTATCATTCATTTTTAAATGGATTTACATTGTAATCGTTGTGCTTTCAGCTTCGTTCTACTTTCCTTCAACTTAGTTCTGTTTGTAAGTATTCTGAGCCGTTCAATACAACTGCTTTTATTATATGTTATTTTTCGACTCTCATTTTATCATTAACCCTTGTTTAATTTGTCTACATATAGGATAAAATCTCAGTCATTTTGAAAGTAGTTTTGTTTCATTTTTTTTGCAAAATTTACATGGGATTTTTGTGTTCATTAACTTCAATATTTTTTCTCTCTTCACTTTGATGTTTTGTTAAGTATGTGTTTTTTAATATCTTTTTTTTTGCAAAAAATGATATAAATGTAGTTGGATGAGACTTTGTACAGTTGGATGAGGCATTTATTTTCTTGATATTCGCGGCAATCGCGTTTTGAAAATGACAGCATTAACAGCTGAACATTATTTGTGGCAAGATCTACTGTCTTAAGAAATATTGAAAAGAAGAATCTTCAGTTTGTTTTTAGGGATGTGACAGCATTAGTAAGTCTGTATTTACACATTTAAGTCACACATGTTTGTTCATTAAGATCTGTGAAGGATTATCATGTGAAGAACATAATTTGGTAGCTAGTACTAGCTGTCGTTTTGATGCCTGTGGAATGCAAGTTGTGCAATTGATATCTAAGTTATAAAAATCCTGAAACATTTTCGAGCGAGAAGTTTAAAAGATTAACCTTTGCAGCGGTATGCAACAGCATTAGTCAGTCTTAAACATAGCTTATTACACTACAGCAAGTCAATTCAAGAGTGTGAATAAACATCAGGGAATGAGTCGAAGCGAGATATTTATTTGTCGATGAGACATGCTTCCCATCATTCAGTTCTGTATCCAGCAAAGTGAGAGTATGGAATAATTATTTAACAGAAAATACAAGCAGTCTGGAGGTAATTTTAATTTCTTTGCTAGTGGATTGTTGAAATGTTCTCGAGAGTGAAATGTCAAAGACATTTATGAGATTGATCTGGTTGCATCTAGTCGTAGCGTACTTCAACAGCAATTAAGTACTTCAATCTAATCAATTAGATGAGAATTTTCCGATAAATGACAGATATGAAATATTTGCATATTCAAATGATCAGCCAGCTCACTGAGAACAGAATGATTGAAATTATAGTATTGATGGATTAGTGACCTAGTCTATTCGTTTATGATCGTATTTTATTTTTGCATTATCTGGTAAGAGAAGGTTGCTTATGGAGAAGCTGTATTGCCGATTCAGGGAAATTTAAAAATATTTCGCTTGCAAACTTATGATGCTTACTGTCGGAGAATGTAGCAATGATTCCAAACGCCATCATCGAAACTTCGATGAATTATATCATTTTGAACCTCTACTTCATTACCTCGTTGGAGTTGTTGCTGGTGAGTTACAAAAGATTTTCATTATGCACAATAATAGCTCTTCTTGCTCATATTGTTGCTAATCATGTATGATGCAATAAAAAATGGAAATTACATTTCTCGAAATTTTAAGATAGTTTGTTTCTTGAATCAAAGCCAAATTAGTTGGATAAGAATTGTCATCCACTCAGTTATTTAAATTATTAGTAATTTTTTAATCTGCTGATTTTCCTTTCATTTTAAATCTGTTTACAGCTAAATATTTTTAACCGGCTGAAAGTGTGCTTCTATTTCATTCCTGATGCTAGTCAGAATATTAAGATATGGATGAAAGTTTGTTCTTTCCTAGAGAATAGGCTATTTATACTTGCAGCACATTCGCTAGGATTTTTTTTGTCTCTAAATTATATATTATGTTTTCATTCTCTTTCCAATCACAGTAATTGTAATTACGATTTTTGTTCCTTCATAATTGTAATTAAGTTTTTCATATCTTGTAATTTCAACCATTTGTTTAAGAAGAGTTTTTTTAAGGTATAGCAGGTGTGATAACGGGTTATCCGTTCGATACTGTCAAAGTACGCCAGCAAATTGAAGGTCAAAGTATTCCTCGGTGCTGCGTATCAATTGTTCGAAATGAAGGGTATATGGGATTTTTCAAAGGTAAAGTTCTTTCGAATTTAAAATATTTCCACTTACTTTTCTAGCAAGTTCTTAAAATCGTAAGATTATATTTGAATTCTGGAATTGGTACTATGTTTAGTATAACACATATTTCTATCAACTCATCAGTTTTATCTAAATCTAACATAATTTTATTGTCTTAGATCAGAAGAATGTTTCTGTTTAAAATAAAGATAATAACTCTTCTTAATTTGCATCTGCACTCCAGTATTGGTCACATACTTTTCGTGACATTACATTTCGGCCAAATCATTTTCTGTCATGACAGCTTTAACCAATATGACTAGTTATTGCTTCGGCAAAGATTACTAAACATTTTCGAGTTTCATTCGGAATATTGGAGTACAGATACAAATTAATAGATAAATTTTAGGAATGTCAAGTCCGCTGATGAGTATTACAGCAATCAATGCCATAGCATTTGGTGTTTACGAAAACACTTTGAAGTTTTTTAATCATGAACATAGTTTGCTGGCATCATTTTTTGCTGGTAATGTAGCTGGTGCTGCACAGTGTGGCATTTGTATTCCATCAGAATTAGTAAAGACAAGAATGCAACTACAGGTATTCCATATATGGAGTTTAAGTAAAACTAAATTAATTGCTTAGGAAAATTATTATGTAAGATTAATTATCTTATCGTTGTTGGAGAATAGATGAAGTCGTTTATAGTTTAGCTTGGATTGCCATTCAATTATAGTGTTAATTAGTAAATATTTTTGAAAGGATAGATTTGGGTAATTGGAGCGTATTTAGTTAATTAATCACGTTCATGTGGAGTTAATTGATAGGCTGAAGCATTTTTGTTTACAGAAAAACAAGAAAAATGGAATGTATACCTCATCTTGGGATTGTGCTAAAAAAATGATCCGAAGAGGAGGTCTTTTATCAGTGTACAAGTACGTCGTATAACCATTTTGACTCATAAAAAATGTGCTGGTCTATACTTCTTTGCTTGTTCAGTACACGATCTGATGACATTTACTATTTTTTGCTTATTTCAGGGGAACGTGGATAACGATTGCTCGAGATTGCTCTGGATATGGTACTTGGTATGTAACATATGAATTTTGTACGCGTAAATTGAGCAAAGATGGCACCCCTTCTTCGTTGCCCTCATGGCAACTTCTTATTGCTGGAGGTGATTTATTATGTTTTTGCTTTCAATTGTAAAATTTAATTCAGTTCATCGAGTTTTTAAAGCTGATTTTAAAAGCTTCTACCGAAAGTGAAAAGTAAGATCTGCAGTTTAAATGAAAGTAATTATTAAAACAATTGTATTTCTCGGTGTGTTTCAATAGCATTGGTTTGATTTTTTCTTAATAGTTTCTGTCAAAAGTTACTAAAATATTTCAGGCTTGGCTGGTGTAACGTCTTGGCTAGTCAATTATCCATTAGATGTGATTAAAACACGATTTCAAGCTGATGATAACATTCATTCATACAGAAAGGTTTGCCATGCTATTATGAAAACGTGTGGAATTCGCGGTTTCTTTGCTGGCATTTCTGCAACTATCATAAGGTAAAATATTGTTGCTACATTTTTTTCTTCATATCTGCCATTTTACCAAGTTATAATTATGAATATTTGAGTTATGCATACAATAGTCGAGGTTAGTGCATGTAATAATAAAAAGTATGTCATGTATTCTTTTCATTAAATAATCTCTCATCTAAAAAGTTTACAAAAATATGGTTAAATGTTGCTGATTAGTTTTTTAGAAGAATGTTTATTTATATTCAGTACTGCTTTTAAGAAAGATTTTTTTGCATCTCTATTAGTTTAGTCTTGTGATTTAATTTTATAGCTTTTTTGAATTTAAAATCTGTAGTATACTTAATGCAGACGAAACATTTGGTTTAAATATTGTAATTAGAAGTAGTGCAGACATAATAAATTAAATTAATTTGCCATTAGCATATAATTTTGCTAAAAATTATAGTTGCTGAATCTTCAAAAGCTTCTTTCAGAGCTTTTCCATCAAATGCTTTCACATTTCTCGGTATGGAATGGTCGTACCGTCTGGCGCGTATGATGATAGATTGGCATAAGTCACAGATAAGTAACGAGTGAAGTTAAGTTGGAAAGCAGCTTGTATGCAAATTTTCGATGCACTAGTTAGTTCTTTAAAGGTATATTTACTTTTTTGCGCTAAAATAAATACACTTTTTGTTCTGTATTGGCAACGCATGCTTTCACAGGGTAGCGTACTGATTACAAAGTGAGAGTTAAAACGCAGTATCCCGAGAAGTCTGTAAAATATAAAGTAACTTGCATGAAAACGATCATTATTTTGAAGCACGGTGTGATATTGCTCCCAGTATTATTCATAGAAATTATACCGTATAAAATCAGAATATCAAATGATACTCTGATGTGGCAACTATTTAAACACATAGCTCTGTTGGTGAAGCCATTAGTTCGACTATTTTTTTAAATGGATAATCGAAACCAAGATTACTGGAAGTGGTAATAAATTGACCCCTTAGTAATATTACTCAAGTTCAATTTACTATTGAGCTCTTTTTATTAATTGTAATTTAGCTTTTTAAACAATCGAAATACTGCACTTAAGCAGAAAAGATCAACAGTAAGATCGAGAGCTCTTTACAGTCCATGCAATTGCTTTGATCAAATTTTGACCTCACTTTAAAACTTACTTTGACAGTACAAGCTCACAAATAACTATCATTAAATTATTTATCATTCTGGTTGATGTTGGTTTTTTCATGAAAACATAAGAAAATGTTTAATTCATATAACAATAGAAAATAAGAAATGAATATGTTGACAAAGATAGTGAAGCAGTGGTACACGGATTTACAGTGAAAATAAGTTATGCTATTCATGTTCGATTACCTTATTTAAGACTATTGCAAGGATAACATGGTAAAGTTCGGATCCTAAGAATGGTGATTTCTATGCAGACTCCCACTCACGAAAGCATTCCATTGAATTCTGTTCTTTTGCGCAATCGAGAACATACTAGTCACTCAGTTTCAAAGGTTTTTTCGCCGAATCCTCAGAAAAACTTTGCAAAATATCATTCTAGGTGAGTCAGAGGGCAATATTTCCATAATCATCATCCCTGAGAGTTACGATAGCTATCTTTTTATTGGTGCTTTCAGTGCAACTTTTACCATTAGTTGTTGATGTGGAAGCAATGTTACTGTTATTATTATCATGTTTGCGTCCATTTTTTTTACAAAAGTTAGATTGTGTTGATGTTTTAGTCGTCTGTGGTAAAACAAACGTTAATAGAATTGGAAGTAGCACTAAGCCGTGTAACATACTAAAGGTAATTACAAGGAATACTGTCTTGAAAAAAATTTGTACAATATATGCATCAACTGTAGTGAGTACCATAATGCCAAGTATAGTAGATAATGCACCCTGAAATTTAGATATCATATTACAGTAGGAAATAAGAGATGAATTTAAGATTTAGGTACTATTCTTTTATTTTTTTTGTGACATTAACGCTTTAGAAATCATAAGAATAGAATAATGAAAACAATAACTGAATTTAAAATTTTCCCTAGCATTTCTGGAAGTAAAAATTAGCACGTCATAATGAATATAAGTTATAAGGTTAAGTAGTGAAATCGTAATGTAAATGAAGTTAAAAAAAGGGTTTAGGAATTTGAAAGAATTGAGCGGAGAGCGATACTTCTTAATCACGAAAATATCAAAATTGCAAATTAAAATGATATATAAAGTGATAGTAGTGTTGTAGAAATAGATGGTACCATGAAAACAGGCCATCCAATAGTTTCCAATGCATGAGTTGCTTTTTGATTACGGTTACCGTGTGATTTGACGTAAGCATAAGCAATGTGTGATGATAAATCAACAGCAAAACCAATACTCATTATTACTGTAATCATGGAAACACTTTCTAAACGTACACCCCAAAATGTCATAAAGCCGATCAAACCTGGAATTGACTCTAAAAATATCTCAAAAACCAAAACCTAGAACTGATAGATAATTAATTAAGATTAGCTGCGAAAAATCATTTGTGTACTTATTTACTGAAGTAAAATACAAAAAAAAAATGAGACTAATAACTTTTGCATCTTAGAATAGTTTGTAAAATCGCTGGAATACTAAATATTTTACTTAACTTTTAAAGCTAAACAAATGCTTAATAATTTATTTTGCATGACAAAATCTGTTGCATAACTGATATTGTTATGCAAAAAATTTTAAAATCTGTGATCATTGCGCTTTAGCTGACAAATTGATACTTCTTGAAATATGAAAAATAATCTTATCCAATACAATTGAAAATGCTTACTATGGGGTAATAAATCAACGGCAAAACCAAAAAAATGAGCGTTGAATATTAAAAAATAGAGTTTTTCAAAAAATATTGCCCACCAATATCAATGCTAAAGATCGAGTAGACTATTGCAAGTGCTGCGATCCAACTTGGAATCATTATAAATGATACTGTAAATATTGCCAGCAGTGCCAGAATGCAATTCCGAATCAATGCTGGCTTCAACTCAATGTACTGAAAACAATTTGATCTACTCAATCTGATTCAATTACAATCAGACTAATCAAAATAATCAGTCATTTTATAGTGTTTAATTGAACTAATTCCTACTGGCAGTACTTATTCGTATTTTCCAATTTTACTATAGCTAGTTGCATAGATTGTTTTGGCTTATTCGAAATAGTATTATTTATTTAATTTTTTTATTGAACGAGGGTTGTAATTATTCCGACTAACATTTTCGAATTTTGATCATTGTAATCAAATTATATGATCATTACCAATTTTGTTTTAACTGATCAAAATTTTTCTAATGCAGCCAATATACTACACTTTAAACTGATCTAACTTGGTCTCTTGCTTAGACTAGTGTTGTTATTAGTAATTTGACTGATTCATTGACGTATATTTAAATGATTCTGCATTTACTAGCCTGATTTAATTCTGACTATTTTCATTTGATAGATTTAATTTTCTGTGTCTGAGTAAGTTTTACTGATTTCAAATCTCTTCATTAACTGTATTTCTGACGCGATCTCGCTTCGAAATAAAAAATAAAGATTCAAATTGTTTGGAAGCAAAGAAAATATAACTAAAATAATTTTCTTGCAAAAAATTTAAGAAGGTAATAACGTACAAAAGAATAATGATTTGATCTAAGTTAAATTTTAAAACTTTTTAGGAATCTAACTACATTATTTCAATCTTTGTCAATTCATATATTATTTATATGTGATACATTGTGAATTTCTTAGTGATCAACTAATAATGAATAATTTTTAAGATTAATTGGATAAAAATGAAGTAGTTAGCTCGTAACTTGCCTGATCTGCAAAAGGATAATACTCATGAAAAGTAGTAACGTTGAATTTCCTATATTTGAGCGCAATATTACGCATCAAAACTGCGCTTCGCATGTGATCTGTTGGAGTTTTGTAATTTCGTAGGCCAAGTTGAAAGCGGAATGCAACCAAATATGAAGACTGCAAATATATTTTTCATTTAATCAGTCTCACTGAGTAAAAAAGTATCAAAACTGTAATTTTATGCTAATTAAAGTATGTAAGTAACAATAATAACAAAGTTACTAACGATTAAAATTCATAATATTAATAATATTTTAATATCTTTAAACAATTTCCAATATCATAGCAAATTAAACAACTATTTCAAGTTCGATCGCAAGTTTGTATCTGAATTTCTGATTTAATTTTACAAATTAGCTTAAAATAGTAACAGCAATTATTTGATAATCGTCTACTTCGGGGTCAGTTTTTCTGTTCGCCCAAACTAAATCTTTTTCCCAAAGCCGTCGTCCTCCTGCTGATACCAGCCATTCTCGACATCGTTCATACCATTCTTGGCTTCTAAAGTCATAGATTTATAACAAATATATTTTATCAAAAATACCAAAATTTTAGCGTGTAAGCACTACATAATTAATATAGTTTTAATTCTTTTGCATTTCTGAAATTTGAAAGTTTAACTGATTTCAATGTTTTTAAATTGAATGATCATTGTTAACAATAATAATGGTAATTTCGTTGTGAACATTTATTCATGCAATTTTTCAAACACTATTCATTCATAACTTTGAGTCAGTCCTTCCAAAATAACTTACGATATTGGCAGAGGTATTTTTTGTAGTTTGAGCTCTTCCTCGAGCTTCCTTTCGTAGGCATCAAGCCAAATCATTGTTGCATTATGTTGCATAGTATACTGAGTATTCTCAAAGTCTTCCAGCATCTCCCGAAACTCTTGCCGTCCTTTGGGGTCAAACAAATCTGGAGGCGAATTTATCACAACTTGCATCTGAAGACCTAAATTGTTCATTTTGCTACTTAGATATTACAGTACAGATTCGTTATAAAACAATTCATTTTTGTAATTATTACTCGATCTGTATTTATTCAAATGTATTTCTGAAATGATATACATCAATTAGTCAAGTTGGTAGGAAATTCTAAGAAAGCACTTTTACAGATTCGGTCAGTATTTTCGAACCAAACAAATTGGATTTGGGTTACTGTTTAATTTATTTATTTTTTTCAATAATTTGAATTAAAATATTACAAAACAATTTTTTTGAAAAAAAAAATGGCAAATATTGAAAATAAATTTTGCTGTGAATATAATATTGTGAAAAAAATTGAATTGGATACTATTGTATCATTCAGCGTTTTATTTTTTGCATTATATAATAAATATGTGATAAAAATTAGTTGTGATAATAAAAATACTAATACTAATGTCACATTTTGTCAAGTAATAATGATAAGACGTGGATCATTTGTTTGATATAATGATAGTAATTTTGTTATAGCTGCCTTAAATCTATTCTCTAATACTATTACTTGATACTGTAACTATTTTTTGTTTTACATTTTATTAGAGTGATAATGAAGAATATTTTCAAGCAGAAATACTTCAGTAGTAAAAAAGATAACTCTCTTACTAGTAATGATATTGTCCTGCAAGAAGTAATATCAAGTAATATTTCTTTTAAGAAAAAAAATAAGAAACTGATAATTGAAGAAGACCATAGAATTGTCGAAAAGATTCTGATTAGTCAACATTGAACGGTGAATATATTTAAATACATTTACAAAATATCATATAATTGGTTTATCATTATAAATCATAAATGACTTACTATTATAATGAAAACAAAGAATGAAAGGCTAATTTTTACAGTATAATTATTAAAATATTATAAAGTAAGCAAAGTTGATATAAGAAAAAAAAAACAAATTTTGCTATAAAAGTTTTTTTTATGAAAAAATTATTGTTAAAAATAATTACTTAGTAATTACTGCAACAGTTTAAATGTAGTAAAAGTGAGAAAAATTAAACTTCACAAATTGTAACCTTCTTGCCAAAACGTTTCATCCATTAGAATATAGAATTTACTGAGATAAAATGAATCCAAGACCAAAAATTTTGGATTCAAGCCTTCTTGAACCATTGAGCAACCCAATATAGCAAAAAACATGTACACAATATATAGTAGGCAGCCAATTATTTTAGTAAAGTTGTCAAGCAAGAATGGGGCGTAATACTCACGAAATAACTTTGATATTACTGTATCTTGATGGGATGATCCAAAAAATTCCTAAACTCATACCGTATAACATGATTCTTGAAATGAGCTAAATTTTTCACTCAATGATTAACTTGCTGGAATAATTTCCAAAGAACTAACTTTAGCTTAACTTACTATTTAAAGTAAGCTGTTAGAATGTTTTTTTGATTGCTAATTATTGAACTTTTGGGATTATTTACGTTCACTCAGTTTATTTTATATTTTATGTTTTCCATCAAAACGTTTTTGTTATTTGAATATGATAATGTAAAGACAAACTTAAGTGAATAATAAACAAAGCACAGAGAGGTAAAATTTTATCAAACGTCAATTTTCATTTTGGTCAAACTGAAATCTATTTTATCATAATTTTTATCACAAGCAAATTGCTACAAAAATTTTACTTCTCTAACTTACACCAGCAGTACTTTCAATATTAACTGACCTCATTAAAATTTGATTTGATTTTGCTGTCATATCCATCCTCCGTACTTAACCTTGATTCTACATTCTGCATGATACTTTGTTTATTTCTTGGACTCTTTGTTTCTTGCAGATTTTGATTTGAATGAACAAGATTTGTTGATTTACTACCCGTAAAAAATATTTTTTTGAGTAAAGTATCTGAAATAAGCTTTTGTTAGTGCAGTATCTTTTATGTGTTCAATCTATCTTTTGATGATTACTTACTCATTCTGATTTGATTATCATCTAATTACTTTAAAAATCTTCAAAATCTATTGATCATTATACCAGCAGATTCGGGAGCAAGCACTGGCTTTAACGTGATTGCGTGTAACCCACTGCTTTCACGCTTTCCACTATATGCCATAACAGCTGTAAAAAATGTTAACTGATATATATAAGTGAACGCCACACCCATAAAAGTGTACATACAAAACATTTGCACACTTGGCAACGTTGTTAA